CCCCAGTGGGAAGAGCTGAGGCCGGCACTGTCAGTGAGCTCCAGGACCCAGTTCCAGGGCAGGAAGCCAGAGAGGGTGGCATGGCTTCCTTAGGGGGAAGCACCCTCAACTGTCTGTTTTGGGGGAAACCTTGGCTCCTCCCCTAGCGCCCACCTAGCCTGGGACTGGGTTGGGGGCGGTGAGGCCTTCCCACCCTGCCCCATCCCCATGGGGGTCCTCACTTACCGAGTAGCAGGCAGCAGCAATGATTCAGGGTGCAGTCTGGCTGGTTCTTGCTGCCGGCAGCAGTGGAGGGAAGTGAAACTGAGTGTGAGCCTGCCTGTGGGCTGTCCTGAGCGAGGCCCGCCCTGCTCATCAGCGGGCCAGGTCTGTCCCTCCCCCAGCACTGCTCCCTCCTGACTCCCCAGACGCCTCCAACCTATAGCCGTGGGCCTGCTGGCTGGCAGAGCGCATCAGAGCTCTCACACCATGAAAGCCAGCCAGCAGGACAAGGGCCGTAGTGCCCAGCCCTTCGGGGAAGGCCAGCAGCAGGACTCCAGCCTGTCAGGAAGCCCGGCTGCGGCCGGCAGCCACCGTGCACCCTCTCCTTGGCCCCACTTTCTCAGGTCTCCCTGCTGTAGGCCCCGGCTGCCGCCTGCCGCCTGCCTCCTGCCTTGCCACACAGTGGTTTCTTCCCATGGCCTCAGCCCAAAGCGATGACTCAGGACAATTCCACAGGCAGGGCAGGGCAGGGCTGGGCTCCTTCCTCAGGGCGGATTCGTTACCATGGGGACAGGGTCTCAACTCCGGCCAGGGACGGGAAGGCTCCCAGTCTTCCTAGGGTCTGGCTCCTGCTCCGTCCCGCCCCCATTCAGCCCGACACAGATCAGACTCAGGAAACACCACAAGGCTGGCGTGTTCTCAAACAGCCCTTTGCTGCTTTTAATCAGTTGATGGGGAAGGTAGTGGTTCTAGTGCCACCGTGTGGCTCAATGCTCCGTGGCCTCAGCTGCAGTCCATTTCAGGGTCATCCACATCGGTTTCAGTGGCACAGAGGTCATCCAGGGCTGCCTCTGAGCGAAGAGAAGAGGGTTCTACGGTGAAGGCCTGGAGGTGCTGGGCACAAGGGTGGAGGGAAGGCCCACCGCTCCTCCCCCACGCCCGCAGGAACTAACCAGTCCCTTCCACGCCCAGGCCTTGCTCCCTCAGCTACTGCAAGCAAAGTGACACAAAGGCAGTTCAGACAGGGATGTTTCTGGAACAACCGTGGCTCTGCCAGGCCAACTCAACAGATACAAGCAAAAGGCAGCCTGCTACGCTCAGAGAAGAGCCAGAGCAGTAAGGCAAGTAGGACCCCAGTGCCAGCAAAGGCTGCGTGGAGGGAAGACTGCTGACTTAAGGCCAGGAAGTCTGACCTGTCCGTGAACTTCAGGGAAACCCTGCGTGTGGGTTGGACAGGGAGGAGTCCTCCTGCAGGCTCACCTTCACAGTCTGCCACGTCAGGAAGCCCTCGAATCAGCATGCTGACCCCTGGCATCACCTGGTCATACTGATGCAGGACCTCCACGCAGTGTACAGTGAAGAGCTTGTCCTTCTGGGACAGGCCGTGCAGCAGCAGCACCGTGTCCCGCAGACAGCGCACCGTCCGCTTCTGCCGGTCCGTCCTTGGGGGCCCCCCGGCCCTCCGCACTGTCAGCCACTGTCTGTGCAGCATCACCGTGAGTGCTCTGACCCCCTGCAGGAGGGCCAACACTGAGGCCGGGTCTCAGGGCTCCTCTACCCTCCCAACCTGCTCTGCTGGACAGTACCCTTCCCAACCACCACAGGTGAGGAGGGTTCAGGGGGAGGGGGCACGAGGGTTAGAAGGAGCGGGGGGTCCCTGCACAGGGTCACCTCAGCCCCTGACAAAGCCGCCACGCCGCCGGCCCCCGTGCGCTCACCTCCACGTTGCACTGGCAGTTAGAGCCCGTGACTGGGGAGCAAGGGCTCTGCACACCCAGCTTAGCCAGGAGCCACACGGCCTAGAACAAGAACAGACTGGTCCATCTGTGGCAGAATGAGGCCCTGATCACAGTGAGGGCTTGCTAAGGCTTCTCCTACAAGTGCTCTGGTTGCCTTAGCAACTGCCTGTCTATACAATGGGGTCCAAGAAATGGTCTTGGGGCCTTCCCAGGCTAGACTCAGGGCCAACCCCTGTGTCTCACCAGCGACCCACCTGCCTCCAGGCCCCAAAGCCAGGGTGGGACCGATTATCAGGCCACTCTGCCAAGTTCCAGGACCACCCTGGGGTCCACCTGTATTGCTACTGTGTAGTGTGGAGCCCCCGGACTGAGATCCCCTCGTTAGCTAGGTAAACTCTTGTTACCAAAGTGAATGAAAGCTCCGTTCTCCCCAGGAGGAGGAACAGTGGCCCTGAGGTGGGGTGGGGTGGTGAGCAGTTCACAAAGGGGCTCTGGAGTTTTTACCTCTTGTTCTAGCTGAAGCCACTGTGTGTCCGAGGCCACTTTGTCCGGCCTTGATG